ATATATGAAAATGCTTATACAATGTAATGTTAGTAATTTGAAGTAACTCAAATAAATGAATATATATTCAAGGGAGATAGTTAAATAGACTTGGAAAATCTATATGAAATACTTGATAAATTGAATACATTAATAGGTTGTATGTGGAAACATTACAAGTATATGCACAACGTCCTTGATAATTCTTAGCCAATATTAATAATATATATATATATATATACTAGCGAGTTATTTATGACATACCTAACATGTGAAAAAATTCACCTGAAATATGATAATGTTAATTTAAACAAATTGGTACATTTTCAGGAAATGGTTAAAAAGCATATATAAAATAGCAACTGATTCATCAGGTGGATTGTTTGTTTTTTTAATTATGCACAAAGCTACACAAGGGCTATCTGTGCTCTGCCCACCTCGGGTATCGAAACCCGGTTTCTAGCAATGTAAGTCCGCAGACATACCGCTGTGCCACTGGGGGGGGGGGGCTCATCAGGTGGAAAACGAAATTTTATAATAAATATTAAAAACGCAGTAATACCAAACAAACACCTTTAATTACGGACGTTTCGGCCTTCAGCGTTTAAATCTCAAAAACAAAGTTAGTTTATAATATTCGAACTACAAAAATTATTAGCTCTAGGTTATATAAAAAAAATTACAAAAAATACAATATTAACTACAGCGTACAGAGTACCGAGATCCACTTAATCAAATTTGATGCACAAATAAACCAACAAACTTTCTGACAGACTCCTACATTTCGCTATCATAAAAATAAACATTTAAGAAGGTACCGCCTCACAATAGATTAAGATAATTTACACTCGTTTCTAAAGCCGCTTTGAAAATGCTCTCAAGGAGTTGTAAAAACTAATGAAAGTGAGCATTACACTAGAAATGTCCGTTATGTACAGAACTTTGTAATAACGAACTAATAAGAATTGTATATATCCACCGAATATTACAACTAGTAGAAATATCCAACCTCCGGACAGGTACGACCGCTAGTTCCTGCGGAAGGCTATTGGGCCTGCGGCCTTTTCTGGAATTGTCTGACACTTCTACAACAATGTACCCATACTTGACATTCAATAACGTTCACCATCCATTACAAAAAGAATTTTATTGAAATTTTAGTTTAAACATGAGCTATCGTCACAGCTTTACATCACACAGTAGATTTTATTGAAGTAATTTGTTTTTGTAGAAGCAGTTATCACTGAAAGTGTCTTGCTTTTCTGTTGCAACAATCGTAAGATTTTCATTAAAAACAATTTTTTTTTTTACGTTTTATATCTGAAACTTGCTCCTTTTTTTTTGTTAAATCTAAAACATCATTTTTGTGGAAATTTCAATTGGCATATTTGTTGCTCAGCTATAAAAATATATAAATATTATATATTATTCAGTTATGATCGGTGCGGTAGTTTTCGAGATCCGAGTTTTGGACATATACATCGCAAGCTCCATTATAATAAAATTACCTACATGGATATTGCCCTGAATGGGGTCAGGGTATGTACGAGTTACTCTGACCCTCATGTAATGATTATTTTAATATTCTCCTGTAACTGCAACAATTGCACCGAAACCATGGAGGGAGGATGATGTCGAACGCACCTGACTCTCCGAGGTCTTTAAAACCTAAAACCCGACACGGGGAGTGTGATGTCACGTTACCATATCAACAAACTACACGTGGTCGGCTTCAAAGATACAATATGGCATTGAAAATGGTGGAGTTTCGTGGTTGACTGCAATCATCAGTCAGGAAGAGAAACATGTTAATTTTTTGAATTCTCCAAAGTAGAAAAAGAAAGGAATTGATGGATTAGGTTAATAAGGAAAATTTTCACCTGTAGTCGTATGCATATATCCAAACTTTGGCAACGTAAACAAATCCGTATCCATCGCGTTCACCAAAGTTACGACAGACCAAATTAAAGCAACACAAGGTTTTCCACATTTCCCTGTCTACTAATTTTTCTCAATGAGAAATTGGGTTGTTTCATTCGGATTATTAATAAATCTAGGCTTAGGCTCAATACCTTTACAAACACGTGTATGACAATCATTATCCGAGTCCTCTATGATTTTCTTCTCTTCACCTTCTTCACAAAGAAACAAACGCAAAAATAATATGTATTAGGTCTAATAATACTTAAATTAGACTACAAATACGTTATGGAGTCAGTGTTTAAGAAGTTAATTGGTAAATAAATGTTAATTAATAAATATTCTCTTGGTTTTTCAACACATATATTATCTATTTGTCCTTAAAACATAAAGAAAAATAAACGTTTATTAATACCAATTATTTTATTTGAAAGTATTCTAGAAGATGGAGTGGTTGTTATTCTTACTGTGCAATCAGATACAAGACTAGTTAGCTTATATTCGCTTCCAGCTGAAATCCCTATGTATTTGTAGGTGACGTGTAGTTTTACTAATATATAGGTAGCTTTACAACTACCACAAGTGTATTTATATACGACACACCAGCCCATAGGAATGGATAGTGTCTTTGGTTTTAAATATATTGTTCACTAGCTAGAGTACCCGTTCCCTGGACGGAAGTTATGTAAATGTTAACTTAGGACATGAAAAGTTGCTTCCTTTATATGTAAATTGTAAAATACATAAAAACAACCATAAACACTGCAAAACACAAAATGTGAAACCGCACATTTGTACACATCATAGCATGAACCCAACATGCCAACTGTAATAGAGTTGAAATTCCAAACACCGATGATAAATAATATGATTTTCAATATATTAATGTATTTTCTGGATTAAACAACTACAAAACCTTAACTAGTTCCAGCCACTGAAAGTTTGTATGTCACTGTGTTCACTAAATGAAATAGGCTAACTTAAGAAACTTTCGTTAATTCACAGCTACTGATAATGTGTATAAATTACTGAATCCAGCAGAATAAACATGTGAGAAACGGTTTCACTTGTGAACAAATGATAATTTAATACAGACTGAAGTAATGTTAAAACATGTATAAATAGTAAGTTCTTATAAATTCCCAACCACTGGTAAGTGGTACATTTGTTTGTTTACAAACGCAGGAAATTAATACAAACATTTACTTTACTACATATTATTTTTCCTCAGTTATATAGCTAAACCGATAGTAATTTAAAGTTTCATTTTATAACCTTCTGGTGGGAAAACTATGAATAAATTAAATATAATACAAACACATTATTTTGAAATTATGAACTTTATTTATAAATTTTAGATGAGTATTCAAAGCTTAAAGTTTTAATACAAACAAACACATTCTATTTATTTTAGTTTGAAAGGAAATAAAACAAAATAATGATTTCAGAGTGCATCTCATTTCCAAATGATAACATGTTAAAGCATTTAGAATTTTTCATTATTTTAAAAGTTACACTTCTTTGTATGAGACTTGTGTGTAGCAAGAGCAATAAAACATTTATCTAGTACTCCTTCATTATTAACTTTTATCACATTCAAATTGTGCAACACGACAATTACATTAAAAATTACTTTCATTAAACTGTCTAAAAATACTTCAAACACGACACATCTTATTAACTTTACAGATTGCACAATTTCAGTTATTACAAATTTACTAGGATTGAGCAGTTACTGAAAAGATTATTTTACGTAGCTAAGAAGAAAGGAGGAGCTTGCATACAGGGTTACCACAAATATATCATAATAAACGACTTGTCACTGAAATGACTATTCAGAAAATATGAACAGTGAAGCTTGCATACGTTATTAGTTCATTAGACTAAACAATGAAAAACTTGATGGTTTGAAACAGAAAACACAACTGAAGTTTGCATACTTTACAAAGTCACAAAGATTATACACTGAACTACTATCATAATGAATGGATACTGAAATTACTGTTTTACACAGAAAACAGTTCATTAGTAAGTTACTCATTCTAAATGCATATAAAAAGTTTCCAATGTTTGAATGTCAGAAGTTCAAAACTAAAAATATACTATTACAAAACCCCATCCTTTGTGCAAACAATGTAAGCATTAGTTTTCCTCTAATGTTTACTTTTTGTTAGTCTTACATTCTCTCGTAGTATATTTCAACAACACAAAAACTTTTTTTAATCAATAATAATGTATAGTTTATATATTTATAATTTATAGCTTGAACATCTAATAAAACCTTATTCAATGGTAACTGTCAAGACAGTTTTTACTTTTTTTACATTTCCTCTCCCTTTCTCACATCATTAACAGAAATATTAAATTTTTAAAACAATAATACTTGAATGTAGTAGTACACGATTACAATTCTTCATTCATAAACAGAACAAAAAGCTACATTTTTACACAAGATGTATGGAAATTTATAAAAATTGTAATAGCAGTCTGATCATATGCAATTCAAATAGCCTTATATCTTCATGTTGATACTTTCACAGTAGTTTCAGTATCCAGGAATTAATCAATACAAAATAAGTATTTTAGCAGTTCCAACATCGTACCCTTTAGAAGAGAAGACAAAGCAGTTACTATAGTGAAGCACAAATATATAATCCTCTATCCAAAGATATAATTTCTTATCACAAACTCCCCTGTTTTAAGCACTACATATTATGAAAAATAACTTATGATATCAAAGTACACATAACTTATCAAATGAAATTATCTGCATAAAAACAGGTGATAATTAAAAAAACAAGAAACTTATTTTGTACAAATACTATCTTCCCTAAAAAATCAATTTCAATAACATAAACTTGTTATACCTTGACAGTTGCAAATGAATTATGTAACAGACAATAAAAGTACTAACAAGATTCAGGCAATGTAATTTCTAAAAAAATTACATACCATCTGAACTCCCCCAAATGTCACATATATAACTTCACACTTGATATTTACAGCTATAGGAAAGAGAAAGGATGTTGTAAAATAATATAAATTAGAAGCAAAACTTTGTAAAACAGTCATTCCAGTCTGCAATACAGTGACAACAGTAATTTAACAACATAGTACACTTTATTTATATGCAAGATTACATATACATGGAACTAATTAGCTGAAGTTCAATATGTTACTGATTCATATAAATTCCACCTAATGAAAGCAGTAGTACTCAATTTTAAAAGGTCTATTCATACAAAGCTTAGTTAGGAGGGAAAAAGTCAAAGCCGTTAAATAATTTAATTACATTCATGACAAGAATAATATATATCTCTGAAACTACACAAAACCTCCTGCACCGAAAACAAGGATTGAGTAATTTATGATTTTTTGTTAAAGTTCTAGTATTTATTAACATACTTACACTTCATTATCAAACAAATTATCCTTATTGTGTACTAAAATAAAAAATCAATAACTGTCATCTTTTAAATCAATTGTTACACTTTAAGACATTCTATAGGTTGTAAATTTACATCTTTTGATTTAAAAGATTGCTATATATCTTAGTATTATAAAACCAACCACATAATGGAAATAAAGTTTCAACGCTACTTGTGAAAGCTTCATCCTACATTAGTTGCCTTTAAAAAAGTTATTGGACAATTAGAAATAATACATAATTTTTTTCTTATTAGTATGTCATCAAACCACTAAGTGACAATACAAGCTGAATTACACATATGCATATTTCATTCTCAGAAAATATAGCACAATTAAAGCAGAATTTCTGTTAAAAATGATAAGCAAGTTAAAAAAATTTTCACCCACTACACTGGGTAACAAAAAATTACAAAGTCATCTCAGTCTAGAATTGTCAGATATACTGTTTATTTTATTTTTCTGATGTTTAAGTGAACATGAAATACCTGCACAAGAAATGTAACACAATAAACTGTAATATAAAAATTGGCCAATTTTTGGTTTAGGATGAATTAAAAAGTAACATAATAAAATTCAGTTTACACGAGTAACACCCTGTTTCCATATTCTATCTTACTTTGTTCATCTTTCACCTCCACATTCTTTGTTTAACAAATATTTATTGTACATCAGACATAAATACTTTTTTCACACTTGTGAAAAACATGCATACAAATAAAAATTGAAAAAAGGAAAGAACTGAAAACAATTCAACCTGAAAAGGAAAACAGCTAAATTCTCATTAATCCAAGCTTGGAAGGATATATCAAACAAAAAATATCCAGTAAATCATACTTGGAATTAAATACATCAATCAAGTACTGGGTTGTGAAAAGTTTTGTGCTGAGATTACACAAACGCAGTAACAGTCCGCAAGTATAAAAAAAAAAAACTTATCATCCAAGTGAACTACCATGAAAACATCAGGAAAAGGATAAAGTAGTATAACACATAAACTAAGATATTCTCTTAAGGATATAAAAAGTATTATCGATAAAAAGCTGAGGTATTCTGTACAAGTCATATCAATAAAATGTTACTTGTTCCACATTCAAAAGGCATTTATTTTATGACTAAACAAAAAAACTGGAAACAAATTATTTTCCCAGGGTAGAAATACGAGTTTGAAAAAATTAAATGCCAGTGAAGGTCACAATACGAGTCCTGGCAAGATCAACTACCAAGCGTCAATATCAGAGTTAAAATTCACATAGTATTTCATTGAAAAACATTTAAAATAATTATGTTCAACAGGTTAATGCGGTCCTCATCCACAGAAACTTTTGCAATAAATTTTAAAAATAATAACATGATCAACAATTAAAATAATTATGTTCAACAGGTTAATGGCATCCTCATCCACAGAAACTTGTGCAATAAATTTTAAAAATAAAAACATGATCAACATTTAAAATAATTATATTCAACAGGTCAATGGGGTCCTCATCCACAGAAACTTGTCCAATAAATTTTAAAAATAAAACAAGTTCAACATTTAAAATAATTATGTTCAACAGGTCAATGGGGTCCTCATCCACAGAAACTTGTGCAATAAATTTTAAAAATAAAAATAAGATCAATGTTTGAAATACACAATAAAATTTTATTTGGCCATAGTCTTTTTAATTTCGGCCATTGGCCAAACAAAATTTTATTGTGTATTTTAAACATTGATCTTGTTTTTATTTTTAAAATGACGGATGTTTACATTTTGTCCATAGAGGGTGCTGTTGTGTACAAAATTGATACTTGCATATGCTGATAAGATTTTGTTTATATTAACCAATTACTTAATAATAAATTATTTTCTTTTATATTATTGGCATAAACAAAGTCAATAGTTAACTTTGTCTTACATTATTTATAATCACAAAAACTTTAAAAAGAAACAAAAACTTATAACAACTAAATAACAAAAACCAAGAGAAATGCAAAAAGAAAGTGGCTATTCAGAGTGACCTTTTATGACCCCAAAGGTATCTCCAGATAAAAATTAATTTTATGCATTAAATAATATGTAACAAGAATAAAACAAAGCAAATTACATGAAAATACCCCTCATACATATTATATTCACAGTAATATATTATTTTGTCTCAATATTCTCATGTAGCTATCTTGACATCTGACCCCTTTATAATATTTCATCTCCTATGCAAACTATTTCTGTTAAAAAACTAGTTCAAACACTCAAAACTGTGAATCAGTCATTATGGCAAACAATGAAATTCTGGCATTTTCGTTAGTAGTATATTTATTTTTTCAGAAGTAATAATGCAAAAATAAATAATATTCAAACAGAATCATCTAATTTAAACTTTCTTATAGTGGTCAAACATGCTAAACTGACTTTGTACAATTATCTTACTTGTTTATGCAAAAATCTTTTTTATACATACAACAGCATCCGCTCTGTACGAAATTAAAATATCCAACATTTTATTCTTGTTGACCCCTCTGGCCAAAAATTGCCATCAAAAAATTCCTTTTCTGTGTATGTGATATATATATATTACTTGAATATTAAGTCTGATATGGTCTTCTGGTCAGTGATCTCGCCAGTCCTCCTTCATAAGATCAATAAGTTGAAGTACATATATTTATATACACACACACAAAGATGACTAGAATCTGAAACATTTCATAGTCATCCTGGTTCTCACTAGAGCTATACTGCCTGTGTTAAAAGAGATGTTGAACCTTTTACATATCATGAAATGTTATGTTCGCAGACCTTTAAGCACCGTTGTAAAATCCTACAGTCGCAAATGGGCGGATTCATCTTTTTTTGTTCCAACACCCAGTGCAGTCACCTAACACACACACACATACACACAAGCAGCAGCTGTTTGTTTTTTTACTTTCTTTGGTAAGAAAAAAATTTGGTTGTGTCACTAATTTTGTTTATCTTGCTGAAAAAACAAGGGTTAACACCTTAGGTTTTTGGAAACTCCATAGCTAGTCGTCAGCATAAGGAAGAAAGTTAAATACGTTGCACAAAAGGAAGCACACATACCTAAGTGTGAGAGTTCTATCATTATACATGTACACAGAACTTACACCTCAATGACAGTCCTGTTTTACAAGGATCAGAAAAACAGAAATGTGTGCAGAATGCCATGTTCACCCACACATTTAAACATATGTATTTAACCCCCAGTAAGACCTACATCTTAACAGAAACAGCCCAGAAAACAGCAGTTTATAAATGCAGGATACGAGAGATGGGCCTCTTACTAGGTAGTTCCTTCCTTAAACCAGGTTGTACTCCTTCAGATTTAACTGCAAGATGGTGTCTTTTACGGCAGCAAATACAAACCGTATGTTTTCAGTATCTAGAAACAATTTAAAATCAATACATTATTTCACACAACATAACTTAAAAGATGGTATATTCTATTAATTACATGAATTAGTTTATAGCTGTAAACTTCAAAAAAGTTCCGCTGAAGTTAGTAAAGTATTACAAATTATTAAAAAATAATCTTAATTAAAAAGCGAGTCATTTGAAGTACTTTTATCAAATCTTAATAATTTTTGTCCATTTTTTTCAGTTTTTAATTGTAATTTTCACACATTTAATTTTACTATAAAAAACAAAGAAAAATGCTGAATTTAAGTGTTGTAAAAATTCTATGCCTAATTCAATTTAATATCAGATAAATAAGAAATTTTTAGAAGTGAGTGACAAAATAACAATAAACTGTTCAAACTACAATAGAAAATTAACATTATAAAATCCATTCTTTCAACTTATACAGTATATAAAAGTAAACCTGCAGCTCTATCCATGTCATAAGCAAGCTATTATACATGAAAGATTTCTTGGCAGTAAGAAATTCCAAGAAACAAATGAGGTATGAAATATGTATGGAAAATACATTGTCTTTTTTTTTAATGCTAAAAACAAACGTGGAAAGATACGGAGTTAAGAGTTGTCCAGCTTTAAAACTGATGCACATATGCCTGAATATCCTTACCATAATGTCAAATCCAGACATTAGAATGTCCAAAGTAGTTTTCAACAGATCTTCATACAGTACTTAGTGACATACCAAATTATCTAAGCAATATAAGTTGATTCAATATGGTAGTCAAGTATTAAGAAGCATATGAGAGCATAATAAGGCAACATGATACAGTACTGTGGATGTGATAAAACATCTGAGTTTAGACTTTTACGATGTATTATCATGTACACAGCTTTCTTTTATTCTCGTTACATATTCTATATTGCTTGAAATTAATTTCACCTAGGAATACACCTGAAGTCATAAATGTTGTATATTACATTGGATCAACAGTCAGAAGACTGGGAGATAGTTTAAAGGGACACTCTAATCCTAGGTTCAAGGACAGCTCGAGCATTGTTCGACATACACCAGTAAATGTGATGCGATTTCGTCCCCCAATAAGTTAAATACCGAAAACGAGACTATGCTATGGATGAAAGAAACTCTGCTGACTCTTCAGAAGAAGCCGAGACTAAATAATCAGCAAGGCGCTACCGAACTTTTACTCTTAATTTAGGTAATTGAACTTTATTTCAACTTTCATGCTATAGCCTAAAGTGAATTCACCTTTTATGTCATATTCACAGTACTATATCATTTTGGCTTATTATGTTCACATAAGTTTCTTCAGGTTTCACTCTTGTATTCCTCCCTTCTTCCAAACTTTAATTGCTTAGATATTTTGATTTATCATGAGATATTGTATGAACGTGTTTGTCTACTAAAAAGCTGTTCAAACACTCAAAACTGTATATTTGGAATTATGAATTTTTTTAACTTTTTTTTTTCTGTAGTAGTCTTAATTTTTTTTCTTGGAAATAATATAATACAAAGTCAAAAAATTGAAACAGAATCATAATCTACACAATTAGGTTGATGAAACATGCAAAGATGACTTTTTATAATCATGTTATCTGAAAATGCAAGTATCATCTTTGTGCACAACAGGAACCTCTCTGGATAAATGTATACAGCCACCGTTTTATTTCTTTTAAACCCAATAACCTGAACTTTGTGTTAAAGATGTAATTGTTCCTATATATCTCATTTAAATACAACTTAAATGCTAACTCTGATCCTGACTTTTACTAATCTTGACAGTCCTCCATTATGAAATAGCATGAGATCGGAAGTCTATAAAATATTTTAAAGTTTTTAACAGCAGGGATGTTTGCAATACTGAAACCTGTAGTATCAGATTGGAGTTGGTGGAATAATGAAGGAGTCAGTCAAACAGTCTGTAAGCAGTGAGGCATGTGAATCATTACAGATTGGGTTTATATTAGTTTCTAGTTTAGAAAAGAGCCTATAAACCATTAGAAGCCATATAAAGTGTTAATTTTTAAACCACTCGTTAGTTCAATACAAAATATGCTGTAAAACATAAAAGCTTTTATAAGCAATCGGTTCATTTTACAGATTTTATAGAAGAGACTGTAATTAATACTTCTTATCAAGTGGGAAGTGTTGTGTAAAATATCAAATCTTACATAAAGAGTACAGTGTGTTAATTATTACAGGATTTATTAGAATAGAACAGGTTATCAAGTGGGAAGTGTTGTGTAAAATATTGCATTTTACATAAAGAGTACAGTGCGTTAATTATTACAGGATTTATTAGAAGTGAACAGGTTATCAAGTGGGAAGTGTTGTGTAAAATAGTAAATCTTACATAAAGAGTACAGTGCGTTAATTATTACAGGATTTATTAGAATAGAACAGGTTATCAAGTGGGAAGTGTTGTGTAAAATATTGCATTTTACATAAAGAGTACAGTGCGTTAATTATTACAGGATTTATTAGAAGTGAACAGGTTATCAAGTGGGAAGTGTTGTGTAAAATAGTAAATCTTACATAAAGAGTACAATGTGTTAATTATTACAGGATTTATTAGAAGTGAACAGGTTATCAAGTGGGAAGTGTTGTGTAAAATATCAAATTTTACATAAAGAGTACAGTGCGTTAATTATTACAGGATTTATTAGAATAGAACAGGTTATCAAGCGGGAAGTGTTGTGTAAAATATTGCATTTTACATAAAGAGTACAGTGCGTTAATTATTACAGGATTTATTAGAAGTGAACAGGTTATCAAGTGGGAAGTGTTGTGTAAAATATTAAATTTTACATAAAGAGTACAGTGTGTTAATTATTACAGGATTTATTAGAATAGAACAGGTTATCAAGTGGGAAGTGTTGTGTAAAATATTAAATTTTACATAAAGAGTACAGTGCATTAATTATTACAGGATTTATTAGAATAGAACAGGTTATCAAGTGGGAAGTGTTGTGTAAAATAGTAAATCTTACAAAAAGAGTACAGTGCATTAATTATTACAGGATTTATTAGAAGTGAACAGGTTATCAAGTGGGAAATATTGTGTAAAATAGTAAATCTTACAAAAAGAGTTAATTATTACAGGTTTTATTAAAAGTGAACAGGTTATCATGTGGAAATAATAAAGCTAATATTACTTGGAGAGAGACAATTTTTCAACTTATCAAAGCAAGCAGAATGTTCTAATCAGTGGAAAGTGTCAGAGTCCTTTGTTAAAAGTTTTATGAATGGTTTACTTCCATGTATCAAATTAATATCTACACATATAAATTAAGTAGGCCAAAAAAGCTATCTACCTTTATAAACATAAACTAAAAACAACTAACTACCTATATAAATAGGTTATGTTATTTTAAAAAAAAAGGGATAAATAAGCAAGTGACAACTTCAGTCAATATAAACTTGCAGTGAAACAGAATGTATCAGAACTACATTTTGACATTTCATAGGTATTGTGATGTCACCAGCAACTGATCATTTTCAGGAAGGTTGTTTGATAACTATTTTGATCTTAAATATGTATTCATTTTGGGAAATTAGATCTTTCAAGATGGCAATATCCTTGGCACTTAATGGCATTGGAAAACATAGGAATATGAATCAACATGGAGCACCATTGCCATCCAAAACTAGACCTGCAACAAAACTTATCCCAGATGTTGTAACAGGTGATAAACCATAAACAGAAAGTTTGATGGCAAAAGCCATCCACATTGTCTCTGGTACCAGTAAACACCATCAAGAAGGACTTCCATCTTGAGATGAGGCCAAAAAGGTATGAATTCACCAACATATAGCTTCCCATCATACTTCTATTCAACCATTGAATAACTCATGCAGCTGAAGAATGAAAAGGGTATTCACACTACTCCACATGAAGACATAATGGTCAAGTCACCAAACACAGAACCAATGATTCTTCACTGTAATCGGATTGTTGAAATGGTCACTGGGATATTGTCTTTCTATTATTTTACATGAATTATGGAAAACTATAAGGAAGAGTGGTGTATTTTAGACATGAACCTTGTGGAGAAGCCTACTGCAATGGAAACTACACTGTAGGGCTATTATCGAGATGCATGGACTTCAGATAGAACATAACAGTGACATGGACTGTAACAACATGATGAGGCTCCATAACACACTCAACCATCTGTATAAACATAAAACATTATAAATGTATCATAATAAACTAAAAGTAACTATCTACCTAAATATAAACACAATAAACTAGAAACATCTAAAATATAAATACAGGAGACCGGGCACAGCTATGTATCTGAACATACACTAATTTTCACACACAATGTATGAATCGTGCAAATGGAATGCAATAACTGGAAGTTGCTTTGTGTGAATTTGAAAGAACTAAAACTGTTAAAACTATTTTTGTTTATTACTACTATACAAGCTTCCCTGAAAAATGAACAAAAACTCCAATATTGATTATTTCTTTTCTTATCTGAAATTTTAGTAATTTCCTATGAGCAGTTTTAACTAATTAAGTTGTCCAACATGCACATAAAAAGTGGTCTTACATTATATCAAATAGAAACCAGCAACTAGAATAAGAGTATTCAGTCTATTTAAAACCTCTTTAGAAAATTCATAAAGCATATCTTCCTCTAGTTATCTGTTTATACCTTAGAACCAATGAATATTTCTAGACACTACATGAAGGTTGTGATACTGGCTCAAATTCTAGTCTTACGTTACTCAACTCTCAGAAAAACATTAAAAGTGTTGAAAGTTGCAATGTCAACTTGCAAACTGACACAATTGATGCTGCACGTTTCTTAAATTTTCGTATACTGTCATACGATTAAACATTTTGAAGGGTACAACTAGATGAAACTGAAATGTGGACAGGAGTGTGATAAGCATATGCACTATTACTGGATTACTTTATCTGCTAAAATCAGGAATTAAAGAAGTAAGATTCTAGAGACCACATTCTTTTTTGATGTCAATCTAGTTATTTTCCAAAAAAAAAAACCAGCTCCATGTCATATGGAACTTGTCAAATTGTTACATTTAATTCAAAAGTTAATAAACAGAACAACTTAGTTTTATCTAAACCTGACTAACTTTTCAGTTCATTAGTATTCACTGACAAAACATATGTCAAAAACTTCTAACTAATTTGGATTTCTAAATATCCTTTGGATATCTAGTTTCTAACATAAGGGAAAACAAAACCTCCAGCATTAATACAAAATATGGTAAATGTCTACCAACAAGCTTTCCAATGACAGAAAGAGTAGGATGTTAACAGAAAAATATTAAAAACACTGCCCTTGCACAAACTTTAAATGTTAACACAAAAATTTTATCAAAATTTGGCACTGAATAAGCTTTGATGGATAGGAATATTTGAGTTTTAACAGATATTTCTGAAGTTTGTCTATGACAAACTTTTGTTGGATAAAGGGGATTACCTTGGTGACAAATAAATTTTTGTATCTCCACTCATGATATAGAAAGGCACTATACAGGAAAATAAGAGAGTACAATTTATGTCGACCCTGTTAACTTTGACATACCTGTGGCACAAGTGAAGTGTGAATACACCATATGATCTGGGTGTGGACTTTGATCTAAGTACATCTGGAGAATGAATTCACGGGCTGCAATATGGTCCTGCTTGGGGCCTAAAACAAACAAGAATTTAAACTTAAACATTACATGTCTAACTTATCTCCTATGGAAGATTAAATAATAATAATTTTTTAATAAATAATAAAGTCAACTACATGTATCTGACTAGTCAAATAATATTCAAAGAATCTCAGTATTGTACGTAATGCAAGTTTTGAATAAAAGAATTTTTGATAATGGTATACACATAGTGCTGCCAGTTTTTACAAGACAAAGAAGTATATAATATGTTAAACAAAGTACAAAATTATTATACCATTTATCCAAGTATCGTAAGGAGAATTGTTTCCTAGGGGCATCTGTTTGGTGTTCTTACTTTTTTATAACTCTTAAGGGCTAACCATTTGAAGGAAGTCCCAAGCCAAATGTAGGTAGGTTACTATATACTGCACTTAATTCAATGATGTATTTACACTAGAATAACTACTACTACTAACAACAGGTAATATTTGAGACACATCCAGTCTTATCACTGATGAACATAAATAATTCTCTAAACATTTTGTGAAAGTAGATGTACAAAACAGTAAGACAAAAATTATAAAAAAGGCATGAAAAAACAAAATATATAAGTATCATAAAAAAAGTATGAAGCAGTAGGACTGGGATATAGACAACCAGATTCACACACTTAGAAAAATGAGTTGGGTCAGTGTTCTATTCTCTAATTATCTTACATTTAACACGTCAGTTTTAATAGTACAACTGAGGGTTAATAAAAGACATAAATGTACATTTTGATCATCTTATAAATCTATACCTTCAAATTTTGTAACTGATATTCTTTGTGTACTTTCATCCACAAGTTGTGGATACATTTTCTTTAGTTCAAGTAAGAAAAGGTTTATAATTTACTTAATTATCTTTATTCAACAGTTTGCAAAGTGAAGAAATATCTTATGAGCATTTCATGACAAATTATGAGGCAACATTTCATCTAACAGAGAGAGTAAACTATCACACGTCAGAACCAGAAATATAATCAACATGCATGAAACAAAATCTGAATTTTCAATATATACATGCAGTGTAGAATTAACTAAATGTAAATTTACAGCCATTTCTTTTGTATACCAAAAATCATTTTAATATAATGTACAAAACCCTCTCTACAACCAACAACCCTGCCATCAAGGAATTTTTTTTACATGTAGTAAGTAATCGGCTTCCTCACTAAACTAATGTTGTAAAAAGGCAGAAGTTTAAGATCTTGAGAAAAGCATTAAGTATGTGAAACAAAAACCACTTAATTATAATGGAGGTAAACATGACCTATCACTTACAGGTATTAGAAATGAACACGGTGAACAATAAAACATGAAGGCATGTTAATATTCTAAATATCTATCAAGAGAAATAAAAAAAAACTGTGCTACTATAGCGTGAGGTCTACCGCTGCATTATCCATCCCTCGTGGATATCA